CCACCTAAATGTTCCTCGAAAGTTGTCCAAGTATGACCACCGTAGTCTATGCATGATAAGAAAAAACAAAATGTAAGAAAGTAGTAGTACGCACATTTTAGAAAACAACTTATTCAACAACTCATTGAAATGTGCTTCATATTATAAATAACAGAACTCACCCAATTGCAGAGAACGAATAACCTTCAAATACACGATTACTAAGAAGGAAAAATAAGTTGAAAGTCCAGAGTAGATATAAAAAGAACTTTGTTCGAGCAAAAACCTGCATGAAGTTCAACCAAGGATAATAGGCAAAGATCACTATCACATCCATGAAATCACCTATGACAAACATAACTATTACCAATCATGAAGAGGAAGTCCACAAAATAGCAAAAGTGGCTTTTATAAAAAAAATAAATCAATATGCTAAAAAGGTACTGACATGCATGACAAACAACAACAACAACAACAAAAAAAAAAAAAAAAAAAAAAAAAAAAAAAAAAAAAAAAAAAAAAAAAAAAAAAAAAAAAAAAAAAAAAAAAAAAAAAAAAAACTCATTGGTTGTTTCGCTTGCACGTTATTCCTCAGATATACTACTTAATAAGCATAGTCATTCTTTAAAATAATAATAATAATAAAAGAAGCACATGGCCAATCAACAACCTCTATTCTCTAATGTAGATCCATGTAATAGCTTACAAAGCCTCTTCAAAGTGAAGCATTCTTTACATCTAAATTAGTAAGCAAGCAATTATGAAGGGATATTACATAGCATGACAAAATAGTGATAAGTTAGTGGAGAGCAATTCAAATCCTCCATCGCATAATGATGCTCAGCTGTCTGATTTTATAATTGAGAAAAAGAGTCAACCATTTCATTTTCTATTTCACATTCTGTGGTGAGAACTATCCATCTTCAGTCTCTAAAGAGGATATACAACTCCTACTTTTTCTTTGAGAACCCCAACTATGGAAGAAGGATGAGTTTTCATCCTCTTCTTTTAACCACTAAAGCTCCGACTTCTGACTCAAACTAGGCAAAAGAGATTAAGCAACAGCTTTTTCTCCCAATGCCTTTTAAAGTAATAAAAACCATATCATAGTTCATAGCTATCAATCAATATCATAACTTAAACCTAACCAAATCAGCTCACCGAGAATAATTACATCATAACGTATTCAGTGAATCATTATGCACCTACATACTAAATAATCACACTAATAACATCTTGTTGCAAGTTGCAACATTATTCAAAATGAATCTAAAAGAATTGCATGTGTAACGAGCGATCACATATATAGGGAGCAGCATGAACCTTAACAAGAAGAAAATTGAGCGAGGCAATTGAGATGATGAATATGATACTGCATAAAGAAGGAAGAAACATGTAAGTATATGTGGTCAGTATTTTCAAAGAAAAAAAGCTTGATGCACAAACAGTATCATCAAGATTGTCTCTGACTTGAGGACATACCAAGCTTGATGGAGGTAGAAAAGGTAAGTGAAAGAAAGTATAAGCCAGACAATTGACATTCCCTTAGCCCTTAGAAGAAACACGGATCTCAAAGTATTTGCCACCAAAGCGTAAATTAGGAAAACAGTGGTTAGAATGGGCAGATTTCCTCGAAAGTTTCTCCACTGGGCATCTGATAAATCCTACAGGGAAAATTTTAAAACAACACAAGGCTTCACTTCTTCCAGGGTTATACACACCTAATTAAACAAACACAAAAACAACAACAAAGCGATAGAAAAGGAAAGAAAATGCACACGTTTAGACGAGGAGGAAAGATCCAGCCAGAACGCAAGCCATAGAGTTTGACATAGTAATCTGTAGCTCAAAAAAATGCATGGCATAATTCAATGAAATTTAGCAGAACAAGGAAGAATATGAAATTCTAAAACAAACGCAAGGAGTACCTCGTGAAAGATGAAGGGAACGGCGGATGATAAAGAAGTAAAAGGATAACGCATAGAGAATCAGAAATCCCAGCTCTCGTCTCCTCCAACTACTCACTATTTTGTTAGTGTTGTGTTGAGTCATGTTGTTCATTTCAGAACCGCAAACTACAGCCAGATAATGTAGCAGTCCTGCAGCTCCCCTAAACCAAATGCAAACTATTGCTTTTCTTAACCACCATACGAAAAGACAACACCCAATTAATAAACTACGGAAAAGGGAAGATCTGTTCATAGACACTCATATTTAACCAATAATTGAAAAAGGAGGTGCGTCTTCAATACCTTCAGGAGTTAGAAACTACAGCTACATGCGCAGGGAGCGTCTGAATCATTGAGACTATCTTCTTCCTGCAAATGCAGCATTCTGCCGCCTGAATCGGAGAAGAACACCCAAATTAAACAAATTTGGGGAGAAGAATGACAAGATTGAAATGATAAAATTCAGAAAAGCAGAAGCAAATCATACCTAGGAGAAGAAAAGATTGGTCGTCAGGTGAATTCTCTGATACTCGAAATCAAGATTGCTCTCCTTTCAAACAGTTCTTTTCTTCTTCTTTTTCTTTTTTAATAAATTTAATTTGGTGTGTATGATTTTAAAATTTTGCTATTTTGTTTAATAATTCTTTTTTTATTTTTATTTTTTTATATTTTAAATCTGTATCCAAAGATTTTAAAAATAAAGAAATAAATTTTTATTACCTATAAATTTTAATTGTATCTAATAATTTGGTCTATCTATTTAACAAGTTTTAAAACTAATATAGTTGTTAGTAAAAAAAAAAAAAAAAAAAAAAAAAATGGAAGGTTTAAAGTTGAGTTGAAATGCAAAATTAAATTTTATATTTAATTTATATTTTAAATTTATTAGAATCAAAATTAAAATTTTTATAATTTATGACATAAAAAATTCAACATATAACTATAAATATAATTTTAAGTGTTTTGATATATAATATTCAAATTAAGTAATATGAATGACAAAATTATAATAAAATACTTTAAAATTATCTACTTTTATATATATATATATATATAATAAACTATTTCCATTGAAAATTTAGAAAAAAAAATTATGAAAATCATAGAAATGGATGAAAATGGTTTGAAATATCTCCATAAATTTTTAATTATAGATGAATTAGACTCGTCCTATCGAAAAAGTAAGACAGTTTTTAGATAAATGTTGATGAAAATTTGTGATTATTTTTGTGTCACAATATTTCAAAGAGTGGATTAGCTTGAGGAGTTGGTCCTAGAAGTCCTAGAAACAAGAGACGAATTTTAAGTTGCCTAGACGACCCTAAGACCTCCATGGCATCCAAGAATGATACAGGTAGCCTTGAAGGTGTTATAGCGTGTACGATGCCCACAAATCTTCCACTTTTCTTTCCACTATGGTACCAATTCAGATGGATTACCCTGCACGATAAATTCGTCCTGAGAGGGGATGTAGGATTACATGGGTAGTCTTAGTAGGTGGAGAACAGAGGTTGGTTTCTCCCCTGACCTTGAGTGGCTAGATGGTCATACGGGCAAGGTTCCCCAACTAACTTCACATGGATGACAAGAGCAAGATAGCACACACCATATTGTCCCCACTAAAGAGAGTTTTATGAGGTAGCACCTTGACCAAGAACAACGGTTGCACATTTCTTAGGCAAAGTAAGCTACGTAAGTCTAAGAAAAAAAAAGTAGTTCACTCAGAGATGGGGTTTGTTGCTCGGCCAGTCTGCGATGCCAAAGAAGGTGAACCACCTCCTTTGAACCCAGTGTGGGTTTGTGAGCAGCTAAAATACAACTCAAAACTTTGAGGCATCCCAGATGCTTGGTAGTTATAAACGCTAGGCCCGAACTTCCTAAAGCCTAGAATATAGCTCATAGATACCTATTGGGTTAAGGATACGATGAAAATTTACAAGTAGATTGCTTATTGAGTATTTTATATACTCACCCATTTCCCTTTTCTTTTTTAGGTGTTTGTAGGCTGTCAATCAAGGTGGAAGAGTATTTGGGTCGTGACATGAAACCTTGTTAGGACATTGAAGTTATATTCCTTGGACCCCTAGAACCATCCTTGGGTCTCTTAATTTTTTTCTTTAAATTTACATGGGCACCTTAAGCATACTCGAGTCCTTAGTGTAATTTTCATCTTGTGAAACATATGATCTCAACTTCATATTTTATTCAATCCCTAAAACCTTAATGTATTGAATCAGCTCCATATGTCATTCTCCCTCATGCAAGCAAAAAATGAGCCATCACCGACATAAACTTATAATTTATGATGAAGATCGAGTCACATGAGATCATCAAACAAAAAATTAACAAATTTAAATAAAAAATTTCATAGTTCAATCTTATACAAACCCATTGTGCAAGATACCACAACTGCATATCTCCACATGAATAGTTTGGATCTAATGACGTATTAATTGTGTTACCTATCCAATCTTATCTATATACATTAATGGAACATAATCTTATATATAACTTTGAATCTATCCACAAAATTATATTACAAATTAAAAAAAAAAATCAAAATCATTATTAATTATTAAATGATAAATCATTAATGACAAGAATTATAGCATAAATCTTAACAACAAATTAAAAATTAACCGAAGTTAAAAAAGTTGAATTGGACACGTCAACTTGTTCCAACTAAATTTTATACTACCGTGAAGAGAGAGAGAGAGAGGAGTTTTACTTTTTTTCATTTTTTTTATTTTTTATTATAGTTTTTGTTATAAGATGTAGATGTGATAATGAGAATGAATTTAGAGAAAATAAGGGGGGGAATAATTAAAGCTGGTGAAATATGGTTGAAGGAAAGGAAGTTTTTGCAGTGTTAATATAACCATAAATGAATTGACAGGCCATGTTTTGTGCGTAAAGAAATAACCCAAGAGTTGCCATCATGGAAGCTATGCCGTATTTGTCTTCATTTAATCTTCCTTCACTCTCAAACCAATTTGCTTTACCCTGAAGACCTCCAATGTTTGATACTCATTTTATATATATACCCAATTCATATCATATATAACCCCCTCTTCTTTTATCACCCAACACAATAATCCATGGCCTACATCGCTGCCATTTCCGTCCTCGTCTTTGCTGTCATCGCCACATCTTCTGCTGCAGATACCGACTTACTTCAAGACATTTGCGTTGCCGATCTCGCTTCTGGTATTTCCAACTTCTACTCTTTCTATCTATATATCATTTACTTTATTACTTCAACTCCAGTCTTGACTCTACAATGGCTAATTTTGGCAGGGACTAAAGTGAATGGGTTTGTATGCAAGACGAATGTCTCTGCCACCGACTTCTTCTTCGATGGACTTGCCAAGCCTGGTCTCACCAACACTACATCAGGCGCAGTGGTTACTGGAGCCAATGTACAAAAAATCCCAGGTCTTAACACTCTAGGAGTGTCTCTTGCTCGTATCGACTATGCCCCTGGTGGCCTCAATCCACCTCACACACACCCACGTGCCACCGAGATTGTGTTTGTTCTCGAAGGTCAGCTAGACGTAGGGTTCATCACTACAGGCAATGTGTTGATATCTAAGTCCATCAAGAAGGGAGAAATATTTGTTTTCCCAAAGGGGTTGGTTCACTTCCAGAAGAACAATGGGAAGGAAGCTGCTGCAGTGATTGCAGCATTCAATAGCCAATTACCAGGAACTCAGTCTCTTGCTGCCACTCTATTTGCGGCAACTCCTTCAGTGCCGGATAACGTACTCACCAAGGCTTTCCAAGTTGGTACTAAGGAGATAGAGAAAATCAAGTCTCGCTTTGCTCCCAAAAAGTAAACAGAAACTAAGGCTTCATTCAGACAAACACTGTACTTTCAATGCATGTTTCTTTCAACATAATTGTGCTAATCCTAAAGATATCAATGTTCGTTTGATATGTGTTCTATTCTACTCTGAATCCCATACTTGAGCGCAGTAAACATGTTCTAGAGAGTAAAATAAACCTGTTATAAGTCATTCTGAAATTTCTCAAGCCCTATAATCTGTATTTGATAGGCCAAATGGAAATCTATTGCCATCTAAAAGACACCAGAATATGGCAAAAAAGAGTTATGCATAGATATCAAACAATGACAGTCTGACGAAATTGGTAGAGATTTTACTTCAAACATGCCTGTTGCCTGCCATCGGGGATTGCGAATAGGACTATTGGTTTCGATGGCCTGACATATGGAACATCGCATCTGAAATATCCCTTCCTCTCTAACTGCAATATGTCTCCACGCTTTAGATTTCGCATGTTTGAATCCCCCAGAGCAACCGTCTCCTTTTTCGTGCATGGATTTAATGCGTCAAGAAAATCCTCTCCTTCGTCGAGCTGCAATTGCAAGTTAAAAGAGGCTAAAATCATTAGCTTCTAGAGCCACTTTCCTAACAAGATAAGAACAATAATAAGCAACAAAAAGTCGCACCCCACAAATTGTTACAAGAGACAAACAGTCATATGCATATTCCTTGTATGACGAGGTTCGCCGAGAATTTCTACCCATTTAAACACAGCTCGGGTCAACATCTAATTTCATAAATCCTTGATGTACAAACCCGTTTATCTTTCATACTGAATAATATTGTTTACTACAGAACATTGTTCATACTTTCGCAAACGGGCTTGCCTACTTGCACATATATATGATCCGACCTACTCACTAGAGAAGCAAGTGATGAAAGTTGCAATCTGACTTCTGAAAACAACACAAAAATCTCAATGCGTGTATGCATAGTTTTAGACTTAAGTCACATCTATCCTTCAGAGTTTCAAAACCAACAGGAAAGAGAGAATATAATATCACAATCAAACCCTAAAGAAACTGACTCGCATCATTTAACATAAGAAAATTGCTTATGATACCAAATAATGACTGTCCATACCTTCTTTTTTGTGATTAGATAATCAAACTCCATAAGTGAGAGGGTGACTAGTTCGTTTATATCAGGCAGCCAAGTGGCCTTCAACTTTGTGGTCTTTACAGAACCTTCGAGATGTAAAATTCCTGACATCTGTGTGACGTATCCATCTTGGTCCTTCTCAATGCGTTTTACTATTGCATTACCCCAGTCCATTAAGGTGATTTCTTCATCCACCTTGATACATTGCGCATCCACTTGGTCAATCAATATCCCCTTTGTGAAAGTTGTAGATTTTTCACCAGCAGCTTCATATTTTTTATGCTTTGGTATTACTCGGACGAATGGTTTTTCTGGACCATTATCAAGGGTAAATAACACACGTCGCTCTTCTACAACAGCAGTATGTCTGGGACACACAGGATCTATAATCTTTTTATTAATGGTCCATAGTTTATCCCACTCCATAAGGTTGAGATTTTTTGATGCCCCCTGAAATAAAGAAAAGAAATATATGAGAGCAGCTTTCATAAAGATGCATATCATGGAATCCTAGTTTCCAACCTTAAAAAAATGAAACGAGCATGATATCTATCATTTACTGGTGCTACATAAGGATCATTATGAAGTACTCTCATCTTCTATAGTACTAAAAACCAAGTGTTCAATGACAAATTTATAGCGCTCACTGGGGCTATGACAGAAAAAATGCTTTTAAGCTATTGCAAGTGAATTCCAGCTTTTGGCAGTATTAGACCAAGACTTATAACTGACTTTGGAATAAACACCAACTAAAGGATTTTATTTAAAACCCAAAAATTGTCGCACCTGTTCAAGGATAAACTGTATTAAAGCTTCAATTTTTAAACCTCTTCGAACAATTCCTTGTACTGTTGGAAAACGGGGATCATCCCACCCATCAACCTTCCCATTTTGAACAAACCATAAAAGCTTACGCTTGCTGAGAAGTGTATACACCAGGTTCAACCGGCTAAATTCATATATATGAACCTTTCTTAGACCCATATCTTCCTGGATTCGGTAGTACTGGGCATTGCGGTCATGGTATTCGCTGGACCGAAGTGCATGTGTAATGCCTTCAATAGAATCAACAAACGGACAGCAAAAATCATAAGTTGGGTATATCTTATACTTGGAACCAATCCGATGGTGGGGAATAGGATTACAACGGTAATACACTGGATCTCTAAGGGATTTGTTAGGATCCTGCATATCAAGTTTTCCACGAAGACAGCAAAGTAAACCCTTCTCAGTTCCTAATATCATCTCCTTCCATAATCTAAGATTCTCTTCAGGACTATTGCTTCTATGTTTTGATTCAATGCCTTCCATTCGTTCTTTTTGCATCTGCTCACGTGGAGTATCATCAATATATGCTTTACCCTGACGAATTAAGTTTTCAGCCATTTCCATTAATTGAGGGAAGTAATCTGAAGTATATGTGACAGTTTCATACTTTATACCCAATGTTTCAATGTCTTTCAGAAGATTTTCTACAAACTCATTACTTTCTTTAGCTGGATTTGTATCATCAAACCTGATAATGACTTCACCATTGTACCGCTGGGCAAAATACTGATTCAACAATGCTGCTTTTGAGTGCCCAATGTGAAGATATCCACTAGGCTCAGGTGCAAAACGCAAACGCACCTTCCCAAACTCTGCATTTGGAAGATCCACTTCAAATGTAGATCTGCTTCCCTGTTTCCCCTTATCAGAGTTGTCCTGACTGACACTAATTGTCCTTTGACTGAGACCCTGTTGATCCTTCAATTTTGCTCCTGAAGACTTTCCACCTCTTTTGCCAACATATGTAGTTAAGACATCATCCAAGTCAACAAAATATTCTGCCAAGAGTGAATTAAACCACCGTTGAAGATTTGGGTACTTCTTTGACTTTCTCAAGCTTTCCCACCGTTGCCCAGTTCCTGTGAAGAATACAATATCATAGTATCAATAAGTCAACTCTCTCTCATTTGATAAATATTTGTGTATGAGTGTGCCTGTGTATAAGCGTGTCCTTGTATAAGTAGGCCTGTGGATCGAAAACAAGGAACATTATGATCGACTTAAATAAACAAACATGGCATGGCATCTTATCTTTTTTTCTCTCTCTCTCTCAAGAAAAAGATTAAGCAGAAGATTTATTTCTTTATTGAAAAAAATTTACCTGCTAAACCAGACCAGACAGCTACATCTGCAACTGACAAAGAATGACCAACAAGAAATGTGCATCTTTCCAAGTACTTATCAACATAACTGCATGCACTCTCAAATGCAGAACCAGACGAAAGGATAGGAGCGTACTCTAGCCATTCGTCAATCTGGGGTTAAAATCCATGCATTGGTATGAAGGAAGTTCATTTATCAGAAGTTAGCCCATATACAATCATGAAAATAAATAAATAGCAAGCCATACAAAAGAATAAACATTTAGAAGATGTTATTGCATTTATTTTTCAACTTACCTGACTGGACTCGTATGCATTCTGTCCATAGAAATTAGGAATGTTGGCAACTCGACCAATATAACGTAGAAGTACAGACGTTCCATGCAACTTCAGCCTACAACAGGCAAACTTGACTTAAGCATTGAGGAAAAGTCTACTAAATATCTTTCCTTTCACTCATATCAAATGGAGAGGAAAAATCCTTCTAAAATTTAATGGCAGGAGTATAGTGCAAGCTTTCAAAGACAAATGTCTAGTGGATATGATTTACAACTGGATCAAAGGTTGTGCAAGCAAGATTTAAAATAATCACAATGTTACAACAGCAATAGTAAAATTCCAACTCATAAACCATAAAAAATGTAAGTAGAAAATGATTACAAATGAAGCATCCCTCCGTGTTTTTGATAAAACAACCAATAAAGTACCGATGGATGTCATGGCATACATAGTGTATTCATGCAATAACGTGATGATCTATAAATTGTAGTTCATTAGAGATCCATTTCTAAATCCAAGTGAAGATGTAATACATGAAATTTTGGAAGATAAATTTCATGTACAAAAAGTAGGAAAATTTGGAAATATGAGAAAATAATAATCAGGAAAGATGGAGTTGCCTCTGGTGCCAATGGATTATACAGAGAGTGCATCCAAGAACATTTACTCTGAACATAAATTATGGATTTGAAGTTAAAAACTAATACAGAGAAAGCAATGGCAGCAGTGTTAGAATCCACAAATAGGTAAAAACGTCTAAATTTTAACTTCAAAATAACCAATATGAAAAACTTGAGCTACAACTAGTTTTTTAATTCCGACCAGAAATAACTAAGCCACAGAAGTTTAGTTTATCCCCTACTCAATAATCAATATCATAAGCTTCCTCAATAGACACATGTATACAAACCCTGCACATTCATCAATGATTGTCACGCCTTCTTTTCCTTTTCTGTTTTTTATTTCTTCGCACAATCAAGTTTATAGATCCAACGACAATATGGCTATTAAAAAACATTGATGCACGATCGGTTTAAGTTTCAGAGACATGAGGCTATTATAAACATATTTCTGCACAACCAAGCTATTCGACTTTACAGCATCAACATCAACTCAAGAAATAACCAAAACCAGAAAGAGGAACAAAATTGAAGAATGGAAAATAATTGTAATAAAAAGTGCTATTAATCAAAATCAATAGCTTCTGAAGGTCGAATCACAAACCTTTTAAAGTTGCACAAGATAAAATTAGCCGAGAGAGAGAGAGATTTGATCTTACCCGGTGCTGAACAGAAATTGGGGAGCGGAGCCAGAAGGAAGTGAAGAATCTGCAGGAGAAGTAATACCAGCAATCTTGGCCGCCACAATGACAGAGAGTGGAGGACAATCGGCCGGAAATGACAAAAGCTTAACATCCATAATCCTCAACACCAGCAGAAACGATCAAATACAGACTGAAAGTGAAGCAAATCTTAGGGTTTTAGATAGGAAAAACAACACGGAAAGAAGCCAAATCGTCGGGTATGGAAAAAGAAAAACAAGCAGAGAGCTGCTGGAAT